TTATATGAACTTTAGACTGAAAATCATCTACCAACTTATCTACATCATTACAGCTTAAGGGTGAGGAGGAAGAGTAGATTTGATTAAATGTTTTCTGTAAAAGAACGTTTTGTGACAGCAGCTGTTTGTCCAAGCGGGTCAAAGAATAAAGAACTTCAAGATAACAGCAAAGTGATCCGACAGGGCGTCATCAGTTACAGAGACATTGGAAATATTCACACCCTTACTGATAACCATGTCCAGTGTGTGTCCTTGAGTGTGTGTTGCTTGTTTGACATGTTGTGTTAAACCAAAATTTTCTAAAATATTAAAAGCTTTTTTGCCCCTCTGTCTTGAAGTTTGTCCACATGAATGTTGAAATCACCAACAATTATTAAACAATCATAATCAATGCATATGAGAGATAAAAGATCATTCAAGTCCGTAACAAAATTTTGGAGTTTTGTATAAAGTTAGTGTCAAGTTCCTACAAAGTTCCTTTTAACCTGAATTCCAAGATACTCAAAAGACATGAAATGACCCAAAGAAAGTTTACTACAATTTATGGTTTTCTTTAATATAGAAGCCACGCCTCCTCCTGTTTTATGTTTTCTATTCTCACTTAAAAATTTGTAGTTAGGAGGCGCTGATTCAACGATTTGGTCATTATTGTCATTCAACCATGTTTCTGTCAGAAACATAACATCAATATTATGCCCAGTGATGAAAATCATTAATTAATAGAGCTTTAGCACAGGGTGATCTGGAATTTAAAAGAGCTACTTTAAGTGGTTTGGAGGCAAAAAGATTTTCAGTCTGAGGTTCGCATTAGGACCGCTGTATTTCATATTTCTGTTTTTTGTCAATTTTCTTGTTGTGATCTGGACAGGTAATGTCCTGTTCTGCAGAACCCGGGGCCCAGATACATTCTGGAGGAAGACGGGTGTAAGATAATATCTGGTCCCCGGCCTCAGACCTCAGAAACGCAGAGTGATGGTTCCTCTGGAAAGGATCCATCACTTTCCAGAGGATGGATCCTCTGGAAAGGATCCATCCTCCTTTCCAGAGGAAAAGGAGGATGAGGTAGTGAGGTCTGCTACTGAGTGCTAAGGAGAGACGTGCCGAGGCGAACCTTTTGATTCATTCCATCTGTAAATTTAAGAAACTCTGGTCCGGAAGACATTTCTTCATTGGTATTATTGAATCCTGTGAATGATTGGAGGAGCAGAGAGGGAGGGGGGAAGGAGCGAGGGAAGCAGTCGCTCCGTCTCCAGTCGATTTATCAGCTTGTTTGGAATATTATCCTCCTGATATGCGGCGGGCTCCATTCTAGTCAGACATCCTTGAGCCTGTTCTTCTGACGTGATGATCCTGTTGCTGTCCTTATTGATAAAATAAAAAAGGTTTGCAGCGAGTAGCTTTATCCCATATTTATTCAGATTGCGTCCTCCTCTTCCAAAAAGCTGAAAACTCTGCCAATAGATCCAGAGGTTATCATGAAGGTCACTGAGCTGGTAGAGCAGCTTTTAATCAGCCATTTGTTGATCGTGAGCAGACTGGAGTGTTTTTTGTCTCCCTATTGAAGTGATGGAATGGACCACTGAGAAATAACTTCATTTTTAATTTTCCTATAGTGTTCAGAAGAATATTAAAGCCCTTTTTCAGAATCTCAGACTTTTGCTTTGCCAGATCTTTGGCTCCAACATGCACAACTAAAGTCTGAATATCTGGCTGATCAGTGGTTAGAGAGAGCAGTTTGTTGGTTAAATCAAATACAGTGTCACCAGGAAAATACATCACTCTTGTTTTCCTGGGATTGCAAACATCACTGATTCCCTTTACTACCTCATCTTCAACAATAAGCACTTTTGGGATATCTTTTGTTTTCCTGGTGGTCACTTTGTCCTTTGGAGCTTTGGGGGATGGATGTGTTGGTCTTGCCTCACTGTTGATGTTTGAAGGCAAAGTTTCACTCAGAGGCTCAGGCTGGAGTGCAGAAAATCTGTTTTTCAGTGGGATTCCCACAGAGTCAGAATGTTTTGAGGCTCTTGCTGGTTGCTTTGTCCCTGGGAGCGGGGTCGGTGGAGGCGTTTTGGTTGCAGCTGCTTGTTTGTCTTTCTTTGGCGGAGCAGGTGTTGAAGTTGAAGGTGGGTTTCGGCTCAGAGCCGGCCACGCTGATTCATCCAGGTACGGGGTTCTCCCTGATAGTCGTCTCATGGGATCTGCAGTGCGAGATTCCCGTTTCGGCTTGGCACCCAGAGCGTTCCAGGGTGAGCTGCTCGGTGCGGGGCGCACGACCTCTCCTCTCCGTTGATCTCAAAGTTCACCTCCAGCAGTTTAATCTTCATTTCTATAGACTGAAGTCGTTGTACAATACTGCTCATGTCCTTGAGGTCAGTCGGAGGCATTTTGCCTTGGTTTAACTTGGAGGTAAAGAAAAGTAAGGTAAAAATAAAAGTAAGAAAATCCCCCAGTCCTCAGGTTTGGAGTAATCCAGTTAAGATGCCAATAATGTATGAGTTCTTTCACAGCCTAAGCAGGTCTGCCATCTTAACTTGTGGTCAGTGCACCATGTTCTGATCTAATGCATTACTTGTGCTTGTGGTATGTTTCATCTGAAGTTTTTGTTGCAAACATTTGTGCAGTTTTATCTTCATTTATTCATGGATATCATTAGAGTATTTGATAAACACTGTTTAGCCCAACTTTAAAATACCTGCTTATGTTCAATTAGCCTCTTATAATCATTAGAAAACCGTGTGCATGACAGTATGTGTGAGGTTGTGCTCGAGACCACAGAAGCACTTTCACCTAAAATTGAAAAAGTAAGGAAAAAAGTATTTGAATACCTTGCGACTTTGCAAGTTCTCCCACTTAGAAATCATGGAGGGGTCTGAAATTTTCATCTTAGGTGCAGGTCCACTGTGAGAGACATAATCAAAAACAAAATCCAGAAATCATGGTTTATGATCTTTTTCAATAAGTTTTTTCCTTGTTATTGGTCCAAATAAGCATTTGAACACTTGTGAAAATCAATGTTAATATTTGGTACAGTAGTATTTTTTTGCAATTACAGAGGTTAATTGTTTGCTGTAGGTTTCTCTAGGTTTGCACTGCAGCAGGAATTTTGGCCCATTACGCCACACAGATCTTTTCTAGATCAGCCAGGATTTTGGGAAGTCACTGAGAAACATGGAGTTTGAGCTCCTCCAAACATTTTCTAAAGGGTTTAGGTCTGGAGAGTGGCTGGGTCACTCCAGAACCTTGTTATGCTTCTTATGGAGCCACTCCTTGGTTGTCATGGCTATTTGCTTCAGGTCATTGTCATGATGGAAGACGGAGCCACGACCCATTTTCAATGCTCTAACCTAGGAACTGTGGCAGTGTGTTTCTTTAAGGTCTCTTAAGGAATGGGCCAGTCCTGTATCTCCAAAATCACATCCAATGTAACTGCCTTTCTACAGAAAGGCATGACATTTGGTTGCAGGCCACAGGAAACACTGGAGCTTGTGAACTGATTATTTTGTTTCTAATAAGTAAGTCTAGTGTGTCAAATAGATAACCATCAGCACAGACTTTAAAAAAAACCTACAATTGCATAATGTAGGTTTCAAGTCCATAAGACCACAAAGCCCTCCATGCTACATTCAGTCATTCACACACACAATCGCTTGTTAATGGTGGTAAATTACTGTATAGTAGCCATAGCTGCTCAGTCTGATAGATGTGAAAATGCTGGGCCCTCTGACCACCAAAGAGACAATAGCCACTGTTGCCATCATTATCCAATGTCTGCAATAAAATGGTGTCCTGTTTTATCATTAACACTTTTCCTCCTTCGACTGTGAAGGTTGCACAGTGACATGCACCACATGTAGTTAATCAGTGTTAAACACCAAGAATGTCTTAAATATTGCTTAGACCCTTGAAGAATCTTTCTAACAATTTTTAAGAGGGCATTACAGAGCTTTAGGTAAAAATCATCTCTGATCTAGATATGTGCATGAGCAGAACATTAAACTATGAAATACAGTGAGGCAAATAAGTATTTGAACACTTATTTGCCTCACTAAATGACTTTGCAAGTTCTCCCATTTAGAAATCATGGAGGAGTTTGACATTTTTTATCTTAGGACAATGCCCACTATGAGAGACATAATCAAAAACAAAAAATCCAGAAATCACAATGTATGATTTCTTTTTTCTTTTCTTTTTTTTTTTTTTTGTAATTTATTTGTATGTTACTGAGGTAAATAAGCATTTGAAAACCTGCCAATCAGCAAAAATTCTGGCCCTCAATGACCTGTTAGCCCACCTCTAAAAAGTCCACCTACAGTCCACTTTTCATTTTAAATGAAAAACACCTGTTTGAGGTCATTAGCTGGACATAGAATCCTGTCCACCCCACACAATCAGTAAGACTCCAAATACTAATATTGCTCAGACCAAAGAGCCGTCCGAAGAGACCACAGACAAAATTGTAGAGCTTTCACAAGGATGGAAAAGGCTATGGGGAAATTGCCAAGCAGCTTAGTGAAAACAAATCAACTGTTGGAGCATTTATTATAAAATGGAAGCAGCTAAACATGATTGTCAATATTCCTTGACAAGATTTTACTTTGTGACGTGTCAATGATCCTAAGAAAGGGGAGTCTCTAGTAGCTTTAACAAGTATCCAAACTGTGCAGCAGTGCTCAAAGAAAGACTATCAATTACCATCTGTCAGTTTCACAATGCTTGCATATTATGGGATCTTCTTGTAATAAGGCTCAGCTTCCCATTGTTTAAATAATTAAACAAAAATAAAAAGATAAGAACAAAGTGCCGGTAGATGTACAGAACGTTTTAATGCTAATTTGTCTGATGCATTGTCACTTTGCTACTCAGGAAGAAACTGTAGACGACACAATCCTGACAAATACTGTGCCCTTGGGTATTTATTACAAATGGTGACAAACGAAGTTATCTGTGACTCTTTGATTCACACTGTATTACATTGAACAACAGGAGCTACTGATTGATACAGTTTTTCAACAATAACTTTTTATTTCAGTCTCTGAGAGTCTACAATAAATACCATTAAGTTAGTATAACCCATGTCTCTTTCTGAGAGAAAACCTTAAACAAGTGTTGGGTTCATGTCATAACAATCCCTTTATTCTCAATGACACCATCATTTTAGCATTCATCCTACATACTGTATGTCAACCTGATTTTCAGCTTCATCTAAAAGTTTGGTCTGATTTTTGCTTCTCACTTTTTTTCCAACGTTTTCTCCTTTCTGCGCCTCATCCATATGTTTTAGTTCATTCACTTTTCTGTGTGCTTTCTTGACATTTACATGAGTTTAGTCTGTCACTCTGCTTCCTCTGAGCAAAGACACTTTTGTCTGGGGTCAGTCTCCTTGAACGTGACCTTTTTGTTTCTCCTGGGGTCTATCCAGGAGTTATGGATGACCACATTGTTTGGTGTTGGTTCTGCTTCCACAACAGACACCACCCTCTTTTTCATCTTACTTTTGAGAACTTTCTGGAACTTTTGCCTAGTGAAGGCATATAGGAGAGGATGAAAGATGGTGGTTCCATATGCCATTACCAGAAAACCAAGGCGAAGGCGTACAGTCAGATCGCTGGGACCATTACTGAGTATGATTGTGTTAAGGACCGTTATTGGGGTCCAGCACAGAAGGAATGTAGAGATGATCAGAAGAGACATCTTAAAAACTCGTTTCTGTCTTTCCCTTCTCTCTCGATGGCGTTTCACCGCTCTTCTTAGTGCAATTATGACCGATACGGATGTCCGCATGCCTAAAGGTGCATTTCCACTACCCTTGCCTGCGGTGCTGCTCTGTGAAGCTTCTGTAGACTCTGCTTGTGCAGCAGTGCTCAAAGATATGTTGTTTTTGCTCTTTTTCTTTTTCTTGGGTAAGTTGTGTTGAAAGCGTGTTCCAATGCGAATGTTAAGTGCCTGAAGGATCTTATAGTAAGTTACCAGCATTACCACAGCTGTAAAAAAGAATATGGGGATTTGTGCTAGCAGGTGGTAGTATAAGCCTAGCTCTGAGTAATATTCATTCATCTGAGAGAATTTCACTATTGCAGTCTGGTTTACAAGATCTGTTCCAGATCTGATGAAGAAACCCACTTCCATGAATGGAACCAAAAAACTGAAAAAGGATAAAGCCCAGATGGATCCTAGCAGAGCCAAAACTCGACCCATTGTTAGCACACGGTTTGCTGGTCGAACTGAGATATCATAACGGTCCACTGTGATGGCCAGGACATTTGCAGCAGTAGCCACACTTGCAAAAGACACACAGGCCTCATGGAAGCAGCTGATCAAGGCCGTGTCTGTTTCCAAAGGAAGTAGGATGACCACAGTTGTCAGCGGAATGCAGCCTACACACACCTGGAATATTAAAAGAATTCATATTACATTCTGAATATAATAGTTTTTTTAATCTCAGGTTTGTTAAAAACAGTGGTACCGGAAATAACAACAAATAGTAAATGGCCTGCAATTGTATAGCGCTTCATCAAGTCCTAGGACTTTTAAAGTGCCTTACACTACCATCTGTCATGCACACATTCACATGCTGATAGTGGTAGGTTACATTGTATCCACAGGGCAGGCTGATAGAAAAGAGGTGGCTGACCGGCACCTGCAGGTGAGGTGTCTTGCCAAAGTAACCCACTAATTACACAATGAAATCTGACATCCTGAGCAAAAACTACCCAAGAATAGGGTCTTTGGAAGAAATTAAACCAACTGGAAAGGTTGTCACTTATATGCTAATCATTGTATTTTGCTGGTGCTCAGTCAACTGTACATAAGCAGTAAAGGTTGACTAAACTAGATTCAGATCCCTTTGTCTAAGAAATAATCAAAGTTGTCCACTTTTCCTGTCATTGGCCTAAGTCAGTGATCATCAGGTCTATTCTCCCCACTCGATTTCATAAAAAATCGAGTGATTCACTGATTAATGAATATAAAAAACAATAAATGAATGGATTGTGAAGCTGCTTCCCTCTCCTCGAGAGCTTAATTTGCAGTTGTATGTTTCTCTTTAGTGAATCAGGTTCAGCTGCCTTTTAAGCCATTTCACATGATTAGTATGACTAATGAGTTGGGTATTTGTCCAAAGAAATATGCATTCATCAGCTAATTTATTGAGTACATCTTTCAGTTAGCAAAGAAGCCAAAGATGCACCAATAAAATATCCCTCTCACAATGTAGGATGCATCCATGCTTTCATCTTTTTTTCTAATTCTAACAAGCATTGGTAGGCTTTGCCTTGCAATGTGATTGGATTGCTTTTCTTTCCACTTTTGCTTCTTATCCAATGCCCGGAAAGTACCTATTGTTCTTAATGGACTAAGGTGCCTCTTTATTTATTTATATATTTAATCTTCCGTTACTGATAATGTGGCCTGAACCATAGCACGCACCCCCATGATACAAATATCAAAAATTGTGGCTCAATCTCGGCATCTGGACTATTACTTCAGATACCATTTTTGACTTACTTTGAACTTTGTCGAGGCAATGGTGGCACAGGTGGTAAGAGTTTGTCCTGTAGTTGGTGAGTTGTCAGTTTGAGTCCACACTTCGTCTGTCTTTGTTGTGTTGGACAAGACACTTCAACTACCTTGCCTGCTGATAGTGGTCATCGTAACTGTGCTTACAATCTTGTAACTCCCACCATCTATGTGTGAATGATGCTGCATGAATGAGAATGACTGATTTCATTGTAAAGTGTATTTGAGTGTCCTATATAAGTGTTATGTGATCACTTGAACAAGTTGTATTTACATGTGTGGACCTAATTAAGTTAGTGGTAAATACATTTTGGTATATCTCTGCCATAGGATTTGAAGGAAATCTTAAGTTTGCACTGAAGTTAACTAAATTCAAAAGTTTATTTAACATAGCTGATGAGATAGAGAGATGATTTGACAATGTAATATAGAAGGAAGTGATAATGATTTTGCTGTGATGGGGTTTTGGTAGCAGCTGAAATTTTAATCTTAAACCATTTAGGTTAATGCAAAAAATAAAAAGTATGAACTAGTGGAACTGAGAACTCACCAACACATCCACCACATGAAGGTTCATGGTGATGATATTGGAAACGGAGCTGATGAGGTTCTGTTTCATGGAGTAGAGGACCAGCACTGTGAGATTGGAGCTTAGGCCCAGCACGACCTCCAAAACCAGAAAGCTTGTCAAGGAAACCTTCCAATAGAAATCACAGAAATTATGTTGTGTTGTGAAAAAGGACAGTATTCAATTGTTCTATGACTGTGTTATCTGAGCAGTCTCATGCTAATATGAACATTGCTTCATGAGAAAAGGCTTAAAGGAGAATTGAGAAGTGTTTTTAAACATAAGGTTGAAGAAAATCATAAGAAAATCATATTTTCTTATCTATGATTAGCCCTAACCCTAATCATATTTTAACTTCTTGTAAAGTTAAAATATATCATAATGAATTGTATTTTATAATACTGTATTTTCTGTGATGCCAGACAATGAGATAATACAACAGGGGCTTTATACGTGATAACTTTAGTGACTGGCCATGGCAAAGTGCATGTCATGCAACCCAGGACAGAACAAACGTAATGTTGGGCCAGAATCATCCCACTTTGGCATTTTTTGACAAAAATCCCAAAGATAAGTTAAGTTTTAAAGAAATTGATCCTTGGAATGTTTTATGGAAGTGTTTCACTAAATAATATTTATGCAATGTCAACATTTTGAGATTTGATTTAATTTCTCCTTCAATTCTATTGCATTAGCTAAGCTAAAGGAATACCTGGAAGCTGATCGGATGAATGGCCTCAGATGAAGTTTGGTCAAGGAGGTTAGGTGTGTCTTGCACAGTCATGTTGCTCATTCTAGCGACAGAGATCAGGATAGCAGATGTGTGCATTGTCCTGCTAGTAAGATGTCACCTGGAGAGAGGTTCACACACAAATAATGCTTTGATTAGAAGTGAAAAAACTGCACATCACTTTTTTCTCTGGTGATCTGTAGCATGTAGTGTGCTACTTGTATTAAACTAATTATCTTTCCTTTTCCTGACATAACTATAGCCCCTTAGCTTGAAGAGTGAATCAGTGTTGTGTCCTCACTTCATACCCTGTGTTAAATTGTCTCTTTAGGATATTTGTTCCCAAAAGAGTCACAAAGGTATCACTGCTCCTGATGATATCATCTAGCTGATCATTTTTATTGGCCAGATGTTTCAGATGTGATGCTGTCAGCTATGGCTGACGCATTTTTGTGTATTTCGATCCAACAATGTCTTATAATTGTACAGTCCCAGCATATATGTCAGTGGCATTTCCAGTTAAATTCTCTCCGTGAGTATAAATTGGTACATTTCCAAACTGTCATGCAGTAACTGTTCCATTCTTCTTCTGTGATTTCCATTTTACTCTTTTTGCCCATTTTGTCTTCATATATGAAGTTCAATTTGTTTTTTTACTCATAAGTCTCTTGTATAACTGTGATATAACACATTTTTTAAGATTTTTGGCGCACTTACTTTGGAGGAAAAACATAAAGAAATGAAAACTGGTTTAAAGGTTTTCTTTAAACAACCTGCGTAATTTAAAAGAAGATATGTTTAGGGTTCAAATTCAGATTTAATAGCATACCAATGTTTGCATGTTGTTGGAGACAGATTTTTCAAGTTTTAAATTAAAATTCTTTTCAAAAGTAATAAAGACCACCAGCTTTGATTCTAGCTTCCTCCCATGCCACCGCATGTCATAGTTTAGATTTGGACTCCACTGTCCAAATCTGGACAACACAGTCCAAAATACCATCTATTGGAATAGATGGAACCGTGCAAAGGCAAAATGGTATTCCTTTCCAGGTATAATTACCTATTTTGAATGCTTCTTGGTTTGGGGTTACAGCAGGGTAATTATACTGTGATATTGGCCTGCAGACAGTTCATGCACATCAACAAATTATGTAGTTTAACTGCATCTAAGACTGTGTTCAGGATTACATGTCTGGGTTACAGTTAGGTTTGTATGTATTACAATATATATGTATTGCAAGAACTGCCAGGTCTGCCCGTATCCAGATACTGTCATGATCTTCTAAAGGCTTGTATGTATGAAAACCGGAAAAAACTTCATATCATATGCAAACCTGATATATAATCAATACAAAGACAAGATTGCATAGCAAAATCAGGAGACTCGCAAGTGCAATGTATTGATTTATAGTTTATGGATTTTTGGTATGTTTTATTGTTTTTTAACTGATATTTTTTTCTTTTAGTTTTTATCCTTGTAAAAAGTAAAACATCAATTTACCATTTGGGACATGAATAAATATGAATCTGAATCAATAAATTTAGCTTGTCTACCTTTTTGAATATGTAAAACATTTGCTGATCACTAAAAGGCTGTTTTTGCATCTATTTGTAACACTTGAAAAATAGGCCGTCATTTCTACAGTTGTTTTACCACAGCGAATACTAATTTAAATTAATTTTATTATTATCATTATTATTATTGTATCATCATTCCGTTTGCTTGTGATACCTTCCTTCAAGGGGACATCGGCTAAGATAATGCTGCCATTAACTGATTGTTCTTTCTTCTGCTGTTAACTCTGATGATGGCAATAAAAGTCAATCAAAAATAATCCTGCATCATTTTATCTGTTTCTTCTTCTGCATTTTTGTCGTTTTGTATTCTCAAATCCCAATTCTCAATTTTGTATTCAGTGAGTGAATGCTGCAAGCCTACGACTTAATGCAATTTGCTGGCTTTTCTAAGACAGAAGCTTTTTAATAATTGGTAACTAGGATCAATTTATGCATGATTGAATTTAAAAATTTTTTGTAAAGTGCTTTGAAATGACATTTGTTGAGTTGTCACTGTATAAACTGATTTAATTGAATTATTGTACCAGCATTATGACTTTCTACTTTATTTTTTTGCTCTCTGACACTCTTCATGATGGCAGCCAGTGCCACACCAAAATCGTCATTTCAATTGGCCAGTCTTCACCACTGTTGCTCCTATAATCAAAATCAGTCAGTCGTATTTTATGTGCAGCACGCCCACTTTCTTCACGCACTTTGCGGCTTTTTATTTGTCATCTTTGTAGCTCAAACCTCATGCTTCTGAAATATATTTAGTTTTAAGATCCATTTGTTAATTGGGATTTAACAGATGTGCAAAAAAGTTAGATTTATTTTTTTGGTTTGTTGTTGTTAAGGCTCTATAGATGTACGTTTAAGCATTGTTGACAATGTCTTTCAGTAACACATAATTACTCAGTAATATTTTACATTTCTTGTTGACTTAACATCTTTAAATCCAGAAATATGGTGGCCCGCTGATGGACCGCCTCAGTGCCTAGATCATTTGGTTCTGGGGGAAATCTTGAACTTTGTTTTCAATGTTTCTTGCTATGGCATTTTTAAAAAACACATATGTGGGTCCAAATATGAGGAAATAAAATGAGATTTTGTGTAATGTTAAGTTATGTCACATTTTTATAGTGTGCACATAGAAATTTATTTCACCCCTATTTTGTAATGAAGGACATAATGTTCAGTTTTGGGTGTGTTTCGATGAGGTGCGTGTCTTGACTTCACAATCTCATCGTTTTCACTTGTAGTTTTAGGTTTAGGTAACTCAGTTTGAGTTAAAACGTTATAGCCTGAGAGCTACATGTGTTCAGATAAGGATTAGCTCAATCGGAAATCAGGTGAGGCTACTGACCGTACAGCAGTTCCTCACTGGGCACACAGGGTGTCTTCATAGTACCCAGTATTAAGTAATATCAGTGGGTAGTGGTATTGGGCAAAACAATTTCCATTTAATTATTGTCTAAAAAATTACAATAAAGATTGCCTTTATAATGTAATGTGACATATCAGACTATATTTGGAAGCCCTAACAAACTATTTGGAGCAACCAGTAGATCGGTTGTAAACGTCAAAGAGTCTTGTGTTCTAAATGCTGCGTGAATGATGTTTTACTTAAGTTGAAAAATACCTTTGTATTTAACTAAAATGAATTTAGTATGTATAGCACTATTAAGACTTTTTCTACTCGTTTCCTCATAATTCCTTATGTCTGGTAAAGGAAATGTATGTATTTCGTTTATAGCTGTATATCTTGATAGTTTTGGGTTATTTCAATCTGAACTGTTCATATAAAATTGTATTGTGATAATTATTGAAATTGTTCATGAAACATCTAAAAAATCCATGGCAGCCTGGTTTTGCTGGTGCTTTTTTCCGGTGTGCTCTTTTTAAAATGGGAGACCTGAGTTTAATGCAGAATCTGTGAAAGGACCTAAAGACTCAAGTGATGGCAGGGGTATGAATAAATTTGGGTTAACCTGGCCAAAGAAAACTTTGAAGAATTTGTATCAGGGTGTAGACTTTGACTTCTGAAAAAACAAAGGGTCTTTCCACATTCATTTGAAATTTAATTTAAAATCTTTTCTTGCATCAGAAATGTTCTCTACTACATTTTGATCATTTATACTTAGAAAATGTAAACAATAATAATAATCAATAATAAAGTTTGACATCTTTGCAGTGTCCTGGTTTTTCTGCTGACTCAGTAAGTCAGACACCAGACTTACCTTGTGGTTTGGACTGAAGACAAGTAAACACAGGTGTGATATCAGGCTTTGACTCACCGCTCCCTCTCATTACTGTCTTCTTGGCTCAGCTGTCACAGTTGCCACAAGGATCCTATTGGAGCATGTCACGTCATCCCGCTATGTTGAGACTTTATGAAGTCACTTCCCATTTTGCCCCTGGGATTTAAAGTGGCCTTTCTTTATCAACTTAATATAATTACTAAAAAATCCAGAAGTGTTTTTAGTGATCTTTATGTTTAGGGATATTCAAGTGCAAGCAGAAGCAGCACCCAGCCACCCCTCATGTGCCTTGCAGCATCAGTGTGGTGCACGAAGATCAATGGTTTCTTTCATACAAAGCGCAATCTAGTCATTGTGCCTTTGCGCTTGAACTGTTGTCATCTCCTGGGCAAAATAATGACAGTTTCATAACAGTTCTTCTTCGCTCTACCAATCGCTATTATCTTCAAAGAAAAAAAAAATTACAAGAAAAACTACGACAGTTTTTCTTGTGGTAAAACTGAGAAGGAAGGAATGCAACTTTGTGTGGTTTCTCAAAGCAATTTCCTCTTCAGATTCCTTAAGTCCAAATGTTGAACCAAAGGCTAGATATCCTGATGTATGTGGTGGCAAGACCTTTTAGAACATTCAAGTCTCCAGTGGCCTTCATTATGGACATCCTTAATACTTTGTGAATGGTTGAAGTGAAGTGGCTGTTGGGGAGGCAGAGAACAAGCATGTTCCCCAGACATCACTTCTCCTGAGATTATCTTCTGCTCCCATTCAGGTTCTGTGGAGACGAGGAAAGAAAGAAATCTTTGGGTCACCTTGAAATAGATTATTATCCTGTAGTCTGGCTGTTGGATCACATGTGCATAGTCCAATTAAAGCTCAGCCATCATCCCCTGATACTTAGATGCCTGCCTGTGAGAGGTTACAGAGTTGTTTGTGTGTATGGAGAGTGTCCGTTTAATCAGTTTTAGTTGTCCTGCTCTGAGTCTTTGATGCTTCTCATCATATGTTGTTCAGGAAATGAGCAGCGAAAACTGTGAACCTCTTGTCTGCAGACTGTCTCAGAGGAGTGTATTATACATTTCAGTGTAATCTTTTTAATTGGTCAGAATTACTATATTTGTAAGTTTTCTTTATTTTTAAGCATTTGCTACGTTCCTTAATAAAACGTGTGTATAACGTATAAACTGGAATTGTGAAAATCAGAAATATTTCTTTCTTTTGGGGTGACCTAATAAATCTTTTATTTAAAAGACTTTAAATGCATTCCAAAGCAATCTATCAAAATGTTTTAATAGGTGTAGGATTTGATTTATGTAGCATCTCAGCTTGTGTGGTCCATAGTTTCCATCCTTTATCTAAGTTTTAGAATAAGGACGGCCATCTCTGGGCTAGGATTCTTCCTCCCAAGTTCAGGTTGTGGGAGACAGAAAAATGGGACAAGTGGAGGTGAGCAGCTGGAATTCAACCCACAAGACCTCTTATCCAGGGAAGCTTTCACACAGTTGGCTGCTATGAAACCAATACTAGGCCAAGCTAACATTTTCTGGCTAATAAATTGAATACTAAAAAAAACTAGTGCAAGTCAATAGGGCACTTTCCCTGTCATTGGCATTTAACGTAACTTTTAGTTAAACTTATCTTTAATGTAACTTTTTTGATGTTGCACAGTGTGTGACAGTAAAAGTGAATCAAAGTCCATGCTGCTAGTTGATGAATAAAAATTATGGAAATTCTTTGTTTTGAGGCATTTAATAGAACTGTGGAAAAAAGCTTACATATACAGCAGCCAGGGCTTGAACGCTAAACTGAAATTGAAGCAATTGAATATATTGCTGTTGAATATATTATTTTTGACACAAAGCATTTGTTTAGCTCACCAGAAGTAAGAACTGCTTCAGCCTGTTTAGTTTCCAGCAGTGTGAGTGGTCCGAGTCCAAGAGGTTGACTCTGTGGGTTCAGTTGCTCTTTTGGTTAAATAATCCTGGTGTAAAAACCTGCTTCAAATGTACCAGGTTCAAACCAGTGTTTTTAATTTAACATCTATTTTTGCAACGGCTCCTTGCCACACATGCAAACCAGCAACAGCGTTCTTGTAATTGACAAGCATTAGTTTACCTGAGAAGTACGATCTTTCTGTGTGAAGCTTTGTCATCTGTCACCAAAGATATCCTGCTGCCCACAGGTAATGCTGAGCTTTAGCTTGTTTCCCCATCAATGAGTCGTCTGCGGTACGCTGTTGAATCCCTTCAGAATGTAAAATTAAAGAGCAGAAAGCATACAGCAAGACAGGCTAGAGTAATCATGGAGACGCTGCTGCTCTTCCTCTCCTCTCTTCTTCTCTCTTCTCTGTGCTGTGTTTCTTTCTGTCTGTTTCTCTGTCATGCTTTTCCTGTCTCCAGCAGCACTCCACACTCATATCACCTCCTCCTCCTCCACTGGCTGTCTGTAGCAATCTTTTTCTGTTTTCTCTTCTATATCTATACGCTTAACTATTTGGTTTCAGAGCAGATTTAACTCATTTTTATACTTCTATAAATTTTTCATTCAGGGCTTTCTGGATCGTCTTTATCACTACATCCAATCCATGCGTTGTTTTTTTGTTTTTCCATTGTAATATCAAATTAGGGTAAGATTTATATGACTTGATTTAAAACATCTGACATAAATGTTGTCTATGGCAATTGTAATGACCATATATGCATTCTGTCAGGACTTTGGCCACTCCTCCACTGTTTGTGTTTGCATAGCACCTGCCGGATGGTGCATGTCTGTTTGCTCCAATCTGGCTACCATTTGAGCTGTTAAAGTTGTCCTTATTGCCTGCTGAGTATATCTGGAGTGAAGCTTGTCAGTGGACTAATTAGGGGTGCTTGGGATTGGCATGGCAACAATGGCACAGCCAGGCTAAGCAAACACAGACTGATAGATCAGGATTTAGATTAGAGCCCGTCTGTTGTCCTCCACAATTCATTTTTCTCTGTGTGTGAAAAAAAAAAACTGAAAAATAAATTGTTCAGGTGCTTGCACTAAACAAAACGCATATAGCTTAAATTGTTCAAAGAAATTAATATTAGAAGAAGTTTATTCAACATTCTGTGACATTTCATTGCATTTTAAGATATAGCTGAGTCACAGAATTCATACATTTATACATTCATAAATTTAAAAGTCCACTGAAACTGGTTAACTGAAGAGTGTGACTGCTACTCTTAAGCCAATCTTTTTTTAGATTTTTTTCAGCACTAGAGACCCTTATTAGCAGTCACCATACAGGAAATGGGTGGAAGGAACAGGGGAAAAGAGATGCAACAAAGATTCTAGAGTCAGGAATTTAACTCAGGATGGCTGCTTCAAGAACCACGGGCTCTGTATGTTGGGCGCTCGCTCTGCATCTCATCTTAAGCCACTCTTAAATCATTTTATGATGTCTTATTTTCTGCTTTTGTTCGTCTTAGTTGTAGTATTTATTTTTTATATTCTGATTTAATTTGTGTTGTACATTATTCAACACAAATAGTGTGTTGAATAACACATTCAACAATGAAAAAGTGGAATCAGCAGGTTAGACCTCAAAGAAAAGCAGTAATTGCAGCAGAGTGTTCAGTGTCTTTCCTCTGATCATTTCTGAATAGTTTTTGCAAAATGTTACTCTGGGTTCCAAATTCTGCAGATGTCAATTAAATGAAGTATCAGTCAAGGAGCCATCTCACAATTTGGTACTACAACATTCTTTATGGGAGTGAAGTGTGTGTTATGATTGGAACTTTAATGGTGGCAGATAGAAGATCTACAGTACTGAGAGTACTGAGTGGGTTGTATAACACATTCGTATATTATTAACCTATCATACAAATTGGGTTACCACAACCAAACGTTTTATTTGCAGTTCATAATTTTAGCAAACATCTTAAGTTGGTACAGGCCTATTATTTTTTTACTCATTTTAAGTGTCTTTTGGACTTTTTAGCCATCTTGCCATTGATTTTTGTTCCCCTGCTTAAATCACTGCTTCCTTGGAAAAGTGGGACTATTTCTTGCCAAGTGTAGAATTGTCCTCTTTTGGACCACAAGGCAAACTACAATAGGATCATTCAGCTGTTCAGAGACTTGGACCCTTTGTTTGACTAGTAACTAGTAATGCTACAAAATTTTTTATTTTTTATTTTAACATTTTAATTGAGAAAGCACATTACATTACAATGATATGTTGATTTCATTCTAATTTTTACACTCAGTTTTCACACTTTTTTCCTTGACAGAAAAAAAAAAAACATAACAAAAAAGGAAAAGTCAAGGCACATCTGTGTCAGAGCTCTGTTTATCACCTGGGAAATGTCTCCTCATAACCAGAGGTCTGTGTCACCTTCTTTTCTTTTGGCGTGCATGACATGCACAACACTGTGAGCAGTGAACACATGACACGAATCAGAAAAGACCAATTCATACAAAGACTTTGTCACATAGCTCAGCTGTTCCATCTTTATATATGTGAAACTTGGTAAATAACCAGGAGCTTTGGACAGATTGCTTTTGAATATGTGGTGTCTGCACAATACTTCAGTCCTTCACCTGTATAATAAGAATAGTATATCTTCCTTCCTTTGCGTGGGTGTACTATAGACCTGAAATGTAAAAAGAATCGATTCAGATGCTACAATTAGCAACAACAAAAAAAAAAAAAAAACAACAAACCAAAAATGCCATCAGACTATTTAATGCAAGACAACTTTAGGTTTTTTTGTTTTCATTCTGAATTATTTATGGTGGCCAATTTTTTCATCTTCTGATGGGCTTTATGAATAGCTTGATTTCATTTTACAGAAGGTTTAGGTACCGACCCGTAGTACCAAAAGTACTAGTGCCTTCTTTAGTCACCATGGTAATGCCAGCAAACTGGATTGACCTGAACCACACAGAGAATCTCAGGGCTATTGTCAAGTAGTCCATTGGCCAGAGGCCAACATTTCACATTTTGGTTTATTTCACGAGGAAAATGAGACATCAGAACCAACAGTGCAGACGAGCTGAAGGCTGTAATTAAGTGTGGTTCTACTGGGGCGTTCAGTCTTCCTGAACGCCCCAGTAGAACCACACTTTGATCTGTTTCATGCCACATTGGATTGATGTAAGAATTGACGCATATGAAGCCTTTCACAAGTGCTAAGTACAGCTATTGTTCAATACGTGGATGACTCAGTGTTACTAAGAACATTTCATTTTTATTGGTCTGTTATAGTTTTTGAGAAACAAAATTTGGAGTTTTCATTAGCTGTAAGTCTGAATCATCAAAATAAAAGTAAGTGCTTGGGCACATAACTGTGTGGACGGAATCTTTAACTTTCTTGGAAAACAATTTCTGAAACAACATTTGCATACTATTCTGAGCTAAGATCTATAAGGTGCTTTCTGTGTATTTCTTTGTTAGAATTTCAACTTTCTCTGCCTCACTGTCAGACAGACACAACATGTGGTGTCGGACACACTCAGTGGGACCTTAATGTTTTAGCTGCTCACAGCTCTAGCTGTAACCTGACCGGTTTTGGACCAAACCTTTTAAATAACCAGGGTTATCCTGTAAGTTGTTTTGAATGTTTAGTTTTTAAACTATTATTTTTGGTAGTTTCCATTTGAATTAGTATTTGTTTGTTAGTTTAAAATTTGAATTAAGACACAGGAGGACAAGAAAGTTTGTCCTAATATTTAACTAAGCAACCATCATTTTGTGTTGATGTCATATCTTCTGTAGTTTACTCAATACAAGAAGTTGGAAAGTTGGAACATGAATTGAATGGCTATAAATTGCAACTTTTTACAAATGTCAACAATTTACAGCAGTGAGATATTATTCTGTTTCTCCTGTTCCTAACATATTTTTGACATGAATATCATAAAGTTGTTTATATTAAAACTGACATTGCTTTAAGGCCTGTTTTAATTCCTGTGCTGCATATTACTTTTGGATACCAGAGCTTTGGTTCTGCGTATTTCCAACCTCTCATCATTTTACCTGACCTGCAGGGCAGGGAAGTGTACTGTCAAACATTTTCAGATGAAAGAGGTGTGATCCCCTTTTTGAAGTTTATTTGCATTCAATCTTTTTTCTTGTGAAATTCTGTGCTATGAGAAGATTTAACTCTATCATAGAGTTAAATCTGAGGCAGTTTTCTACTTTCATTTCAGCCATCTGACCTGCTGAAACCTCAAACTATTTTATTTTATCTAACCTTTATTTAACCTGGTGAGTTTATTAAGAGGAAATTCTTAGTTGTGATAGCAACCTGGTGGAGAAGAAAGAATAAAGCTGTTTGTGTAGCAACTAGACTGCTCTTTAAGCCAGAAATGGGAGTGTTCAATAATACAATATATTTAGAAATATCAGTATAAGGCCAAACCAGTTTGATGAATGACTTAGCTCCCTTCAGTTTATTTTATATTAACCTGCAGCAAACATAATCTCAAATCATTGTTACAGTAAAAAAAAAAAAAAAAATCAATCATGCAAACAGGCACAAAGTCACTGATGACCACAGAGTCCACATTTGACATCATAGCTGGACCCCTGTGTAATGGAGAGATCAGTGGTATTTCTGAACCATATCAGCTGCGAGTTTAGTCTACTACTCCAACATCAAAAATAGGCCAGATTAGGGCGTGGCAATGGTGCAGGGATAAAGTGTTACCCATGTAAGGAGGCTTTAGTACTCGATGTGACTGCCGCAGGTTTGAGTCTGATGATCTTTCCTGCATCTCTTCCCCTTCTTTCATAAGTCTGACAACTTTCAAATCAATACCTCTTATAAAAAATGGCTAAAAGGTTGTAGATTAGTAATACTTATCAGCTTGTTGCTTAGTGTCTGTTATTCACATTGTAACAGTGTGTCCATGTCCTGCTGTCTTCACATACACCACCTCATATATTGCTGCATGAACATTCAGGTTTCTCTCTTTTCTGGTTGAAGTTCTAATAGCATAATGTTTGTTAGTTGACAGCATCAGCAACGTTAATTTCAGCAGTTTGTCTATGGTGCTACATTTTCAGATGCTCATTGTTTAATGGACTTAATTCATTATTCTAGTGGGATACAACCGACTGATTGTCCACTGCCACATTTTCATGTGAGTTGAGCCAGTATCTGTTCCTCTGGTATAAAGCTGGGGTGACAGTAGGTGGAGAAACAATAGAGGGGGAAAAGCAGTTGAAATGTTTAACAGGCTGTCAGAAGTGCTATGTGCTTCTTTGAAATAAGTGTTGTTGACAAATCTGTCAAGCTGACTTATCCTGCTGTCATCTTCCCTGTCAGCAGGATAAAATATGCTAATTTAATCACAAAGATGTGTTGATGAAGTACCAGAGTATCATTTGAACAATAGTTGACCAAACATTTTTGTACAAGTACACTTTACAATTTGAAGATGTAAATGCCTAGTTCTCAAATTGTCCCGCTACAAATCTGAGTCGTTTTTTTTTCTTCACCATCAATGCATAAAAAGGGCACCCTCTTTCTGATTGATATAAATGATCTTATATAAAAGTCCTGAAGTATAGAAAACATGGGCTGCTCAGTTGAAGGTTTGTTCTCCTGAAAAGGAAGGTAGTTCTTCCCACTGTCAAAACG